GCTGCGGGGGTCTCGCGCGTGGGATCCCGGCAGCTGCTGGTCGACCCGCGCAGCGCGCAGCCCCTGCCCTTCCCGGCGAGCGCGCTGACCGCCTCCCCATAAACCTGCGCCCACAATCCCCCGGCGTCGGGCGCCGCGCGCACAGCCCGCCCGACCGGCCCGTCCCGCCCGCGCGCCCCGGCCTCCCGGAACCGCGCGCCGGGCGCCGCCGCCAAATCCATCCCCTTCGCGGGTGGGCGTGCGGGCGGCAGGCGCCGTCTATGCGGCCGCCAGGGGGCGCCCATGTCCCCCCACCTCGCCCGGCCGGATCCGCCTCGCGCGCGGCTCTGGCGGGTCGGGCGGCCGCGCTCCCGGGGAGACACGGAGACCCGACGGCTGAGGCGAGGCGGGGGGTCGGCGCGTACCAGCACGAGCCCCGCAAGGACGCGGGACACGACCCAATGGCCCGGCCCTGGGAAGCGGGGGCGGAGGCGGCGGGGAGTCCCTTCCCCGTGGCCTGAATTGGGGAGCGGCTGTCCGGCGCCCGCCTGAAGGGGGGGGGGGCGCAGGGGTTGCCCCGAGGTCAGGCCTCCTGCCGGGTGGCCCGCCTGCGGTGGCCTCAGGCCCTCCCCTGGGGTCGCTCCGCCTGCACGCCCCTGCCGGCGTCAGCCCGTCTGGGCTGCGGGGTGCCAGGACTCTCTGACACAGAGCCCTGCAGCAGTGTGCACGGTCTCAGGGCGGCTCTGCAGCGGGGTGGCTCCTCTGGGCCCTCCCAGCAGGTGCAGGAAAGAACCAGAACGCTTGGTTTCTGACTTGGAGGGCCCCCAGGGCTAGCGCTGTGGATGCTCACCGTGCGGCCCTTCACCCCAGGACTCATTCTTCCTGAGGGCTCCCTGTGTGCTGAAGCACGGGTGACATCCAGAGTACAGGGGAGATTCAGACCCCACAATTCCTGACCTCCTGGGTGCCAGGGCCAGGCCAGGGCTTTCCCCACTTACTCATTTCCCCGGATGTTTTCTGAGGACCTACTGTGTGCCGGGGCCAGTGCCAGTGATGCCAGACCAGAAGCAAAAAGTCCTACAGTCCCTGGTTCCTTCGCAGAGCTGAGCTGAGCTGAGAGGCCTCCCTGGTCTGGGCTCTCCTCCTCCAGTTATACACCCACAGATCCCTTGGCTTAACTTTTCAAATAAATCATGTTTTTCAAACTTTGGGGGGTGGAACAAAGAAACCTGAGTATGGCTTGTGCAAGGATATGAAGACATTCACTCTTGGGAAGACGCTGCGGCTATTTAGGAGATGATTTTGCTTAGACATGCAAGCGAAGGTATTTACCAGTGAAACGAAGTCAGATCGTATAATTTATTTCAAAACGAATTTGGAAACATACTTTCATGACCTATTTTAAAAGCGGTTATCTATTATAAACCTTAGTAAACTCTTGTTTTTCTTGGTGGCGTTTAACATTTCAAAGGTGTTGGATTAAGGAATGCACCACGCTTTATACTTTTTGTTATAATTGACAAATCTCATTGTTTTTTAAACGTGGGATTTTTGTGTAGACCTGTTTTCCCAGGCACAGGGCAGTTCGTCAGTCAGCGTTGAGCCCAGACTGTGGGCACCTCGGGGTACCCCGTGTGTAGCGTGTAAGAGAATGAACGGAATCCCCAGGGGCCGGCCGTGTGGGGGTGCACTCAGGCAAATGAGCGAATAGTCACAGGAACCCTCGCTTACAGGGAAATAGAGCAGAGGAGGCCAGGGGACCACAGACAATGGTGCCTGGGAGGGGCCCCTGGAAGGACTCTGTGCTTCTGGGGGGGACTTAGTACCTGGGGAGGCTCGGTGCCCGGGGAGGGGTGGCTGGTTATCTTTTTGACTGCACAAGTTGCCCACCATGGGGCCGTGACTGGTGAGAAGATGCTGGGGTCCTGCTGTGATTATGGCTCCGAGGGAGGCCGCGGCGGACCTGCGCCCAGTGGGCCACGGGGTGCTGCGGCAGCGGGGCGCCCCGAAGGCGGCGGCTCCTGGAAGGGGGTCCTTTGGTGTGCGGTGCCGGCCGCGTGCCTCCAGGGCTCCCGGACCCCGCGGCCGCGCAGTCTCCGCCCTCCAGCCCGTGAGAGGCGCGGCACGGCCAGTCTCTCCGCTGCCGAGTCCGGCGGGGCCGCAGCCCGTGGGTCCTGCTCCTGGCGGCTCCGCTGCAGTCTCGGTTCCGGACCTGCAGGGCAGAAAAGGGAAACCCGAGCCGGCGCCCTTTGTCCCGGGTGCCCTTTGTCGTGGGGAGCGGTGGGAGTGGGGGGGGCGCACTCAGGGCAGGAGGGCCCAGGCTTGGGCGGCTGCGAGGGGGGCGGGAGCGGGGCCCAGACCGGGGCGGGGCAGCCGATGGCGAGGGGGCTCGGTTGCTGCGGGCGTGGGCCGGTGTGGGGGCTCCCTCATGCTGGGGGTCCCGCGCCCTTAGGCTGCACCCCTCTCCTCCCAGGGGGCGTAGCGGGCGTCGGGAGAGGACGGGCAGGCAGGGGGGAAGGGACCGAGCGGGGGCCACCCCGCCTCTGCACCGCGAGGGAACAGACGCGCAGACACGCCCTCCCCGTCCGGGTCCCGCTCCGGGGGCTTTGGGCGGCCTTTGCCGGGCGTGGCGAGTTCGGGCCGTTTCTCCTCGGTCCGAGACCCCAGTCCCGCCGATGCGCTGGGGTGCGACGCGTCCCACGGCCGGAACTACAACTCCCAGAAGGCGCCGCCGAGACTACAACTCCCAGAAGCCCGAGGGGGCGGGGCGTGCCGCGGGGGCGGGGCCGGAGCTAGGACCAGAGAGGCGGAGGCGCCGGCCCCAGGTCACGCAGCGGCCCTCGGCGCCCTCAGCCTACAGCCGCCCCCGCGCGCCCCCAGCTGCGCGTCCAGCCCTCGCCGGTCGCTCGCAGGCTCGGCCGATCCCCCGCCGCTGGGACGAGCCCTTTCCCCGCAAACGTCGTGGGCTCCCCAGTGCGAACACGGGTGACGGTGACAGACCCGCCCGCGCCCCTGACGCCCGCGGACCCCACGCCTGTCGCGCCGCCGGCGGGCCCCGAGGGGGCAGAACAGGGGGCGCGGGGTCTCCGGGGAAGGAGCCCCAGGGGAGCCCGGGAACCGTCTCAGCGCCGCGACCTCGCGCCCGCCGCCCCCGCCTTCCCGCGCCCGCCGCGGGGCCTGTCCGGGGCCGGGCGGCGCCTCCGGAGCTGGCGCGCGGGGAGCGGGGCGTCTGCGCCGGGGAACGTGTCCCCGGAGCCCCGGGGTCCCCGCGGGCCTCCCCTGACGGGACGAGCCCACCTGCGGCCGGGGTCGCCCCTCGGGGACGGGCTGACGGGCACGAGCGCCCCCAGGCTGGGGAGGGCGAGGAGGGCGAGGAAGGGTCCGGGCGCGCGCAGGCTCTCGGCACAGTCGCCAAGTCATGTTGGGGTGCGGAGGGGCGCAGGGACCTGATAAACTGCGCAGCTTGCGCCCCAGACGCGCCGAGGGCGGGCGGGTCGGGCTCCCGGGCCGGGCGGGCGCTGCATCGGACGAAGGAGCAGCCGCGCCCTCGGCCGAGCTTTCCGGGGCCAGAACGGGGTGGGGGGGGGTGAGGTGCTCGTCGGCCCCGAGCCCGGAGACCCGCCCTGGCGCTCCGTGGGCGCGAAAGGGCCGCGGGCTCCCCAGGGCCGGCCCGCGCTGTCCGGAGACGGGGCGTCGGGGCGCGAGCGGGGTCTAGCGCCTGGGAAGGGAAGGGAAGGGGGTGTCGAGGGCCCCAGACAGACGCCGGGCGGGGCGCGCAGGAGCCGGGGCGCCGCGGGGTCGGGAGCCCGAGGCCGGGTCCGGGCGGCGCCGGCGGCGTTTCCGGGGACGGAGGGGCCGCGGGGACCGGTCGGGGCCGCGCGGGGGAGTCAGCGGCTGCCCCGCCCGCGCCCGCCCCTCCGCGGCTCCGCTCAGCCAGACCCGTCACGCGGCCCGTCCCCCGCGCCCGTCCCGCCGCCGCCACCTCCGCCTCCCGGCGCCTCCTGCGCGGGGACAGGACAGCGGCGGCGGGGACCGGCGGCGGGGAATGCGGGGGGCTGCGGAGGCGCCGGGGGTGGGGGCCGCTCCGACCCACTTTCCTTGGGACTTCAAGGGCCGAGCCGCTGACCGCAGCCCCCAGCCCGCTCTGCCGCCGGCGGGCGGGTCCCCAGGGCGCCCGGAGCGCGAGAGCCCGCGGGGAGGCCCCTCACTGCGGCTCCGCGGCCCTCCGGGCGGCTCCCCGCGGGCTCCGGGGCGGGGGCTGAAGCGGAGGCGCGGGCGGGGCCGGCCCGGAGGGACCCCGGGGCCATAGGTGCAGGTGACCCTGGGGCTCACCTCCTGCGGGGGGGGGGGGAGCGCCTGAACCCCGCCTCTGCGGGGCCCGCACACGGAGGGAACCCGCGCTGGGTGAGCGGCTGGAGCAGGAGACGCGAGAGGCTGCGGGGAGGGGCCCCAGCCACCCCCGCGTCTCCCCTCCAGCCACAACACCCCCCTCCAGGCACCCTCGCAACCCCCAGTCCCACCCGCCACCCACCGCGCCACCCCCGCGTCCCCCCCTCTCCCCATCTCCCCTCGCCAGGGCTCCCCCAGGCCGACAGGCCCCCGGCGCGCCCCTCTCCCCTCTCGGGCAGCGCGGGCCCCGGGCCCGGGAGACTCAGGAGGCGGCGGGGCCCGCGGGCGGCGGGGCCGGGGCGGCGGCGGAGGCGCTTCCCGGCGGTGCTCACCGTGTCCGGCGGGGAGCGCCGGGCGGGCGGGGCTGCTGCTTCCTCCTCGGGCCGCGGACTCTCTGGCCGGGCGGGCGGGGCCGGCGGGAAGGGCTGGACGCGGACCTGGGCTCGGGGCTCCTGTTGGGCCCTGAGGAGCACAAGGGCGGGCCCGGCCCCGAGCGTGACCCCGCGGCCGCGGGCTCGCTCCCGGCTTCCCGGGGCCCTTAGGGCGCCCCCGGGTCGGGCTCCCCTCTGTCCTGCGTGCTGTTTTCACTCCCGCGGGTTTAGGGTGGCTTTTGGGGCGCACGTAGTAAACTTTCCGGGCGGAGCCCCCTCCCGCCCCAGGCCCAGCATGGGGCGGGCAGAGCGGGTGCCCGGGTGTGCGCAGCTGGGGGGGGTCGCTGCTTCCACCCCGAGGGGAGCCCCATTTCACCCAGTGTAAGGGAGACGGGAGAGCAGGTGCCCCCAAGAGTATCAGGGAATCGCTGGGGCACCTCCTCGGCCCGCTGACCCCAACTGCTGTTCGGGGGTCCGTGTTTTGGGGGAGCATCTCCCCTTCTCCCTGTCGGGTGTTTGGCTTGCAGGGTCCCTTCTCCTGTAATCTCACCCTGTCGGGGAGCCCCTGAGGGCAGTGGACTTGCCTTCAGCTTAGGCCTCCAAAGAAAGAGCTGGAGAAACAGCCTCACCGAGGCCACAAAGTTCTGCAACCCCGGGAGTGGGGGGGGGAGCAGAGTGGAGCCACAAAGGCAGTCACAGGCCTGGAGGACCCCCTGGCATCTGTGCCTTCATGCAAGGCTCCAGGGCCCCATCTTTCAAGGCCCTCCCTGCACACTTCACCACTGCTCTGCTCCCCCCCTTCCTCCCCGCCCCCCTCACTGCACCCCCAATGTCATGAACTGAAAGAGCAGCTGATTCGCGGGCCCCACATCCAAGTGGGGACCCTCCTATCTTTGGACCTCTCGGCTGGCGCGGCTCCTCTCCCCGACAGTGCAGACAACTCACTGACTTTATGACTCTGGGGGCCTGGGTGGAGATGATGGTGGATACTTGAGGCTGCTGGTACCCAAAACTCAGCCCTAACCCTGAGCACAGCATTGCCCTCCTCTCTGGGGGCTCTGCCCTGTACACCGCCCCTCCCAGGTGTGCCAACCACTGTTTCCTGCCCTCCCCTTTCTTCTGTTGAAGTCCCAGTAGCTCTGTGAGTGCTCCCCGAGTCCAGAGCTGCCCCATATCTGATTCCACTTCCTTCCCTGGGCAGAAGCCTCTCACCAGGAACGGAGACCTTCATGCAGGGGAGTGGCTCCCTTTGGCAGAAGGTGCACAGCCGTGGGGCGGCGAGTCTGAGAACCCACGGGACCAGGTCATACTGAGTAAGAGTGGGAAGGGGAACCAGGCCTGTAGGATTCCTGGGGTGCAGCATCAGGTCACTGGGAAGGGACACGGAGTGCCCCCCAAAGCAGGACAGCGGGAGATCTGTACAATTGTTGTATTCTTTATAACCTTTTCCTAAGAGACATGCCCTGTACCTTCAGCTGCAGCCATTTCTCTTTTGCTTGAAAATGCTCATATAATCAATCCCGTGATGTATTTTCTGTTTCAGGCTAATGAACAGCACCCCTGGTGTTGATGCAGCTCAGGGTGACCGGGAAGCTCAGGTAAGTGACACTCAGATGGGAGAGCTTTGATTACAACAAATAAATGAAAAATGAATCTGTGTTAATAAAAACCATGATCAATGTTGTCATCGCCTCTGGAGATCATCTCATTTGTGGCTCCCCCACACGAGTATCTTCTCATTTTGAGAGAAATACTTTAGCCTGAAACTGCAATGAAATAAAATAAATTGCATACAGGTAGTGAATCCCCCACCTGATATGTTACTCTTTCCTATTATGGAACATTCATAAAACAGAGCATTAAAAAAAAATCCACCTTGGTGTTATTTTTCTACAAAGACACATTAGATGTATTTGGGGAAGAGGGAGAAAGAATATTCCCGAGATAAAACTGGTTTATCATGTTATAGAGGATATGGTATTAAAATAATGCCACTGTGGAGCTACCACAAAAGTTCAGGTGAGCGTTTTAATGCCCCCGGTTCTCCTACTGCCTGTGGCGTCTCCATTTAATGAACCAGGGTTTGAGCTTTAGGAGAGACAGAAAGTTAAAGCCACAGTTGAACTATCAACGATGATCTTTGCCAGGACACTGGATTGATACTGATCTGTGACAGCCTGAGCTGCACATGGGAATTCCATTCTATTCTATTCTGTCCTATTCTTTTTCTTTTTGTAAAGGCAAGGAATTAGTCACAGAGAGAAGCTTTCAGTTATACAAAATTTTGTTTTATGAAATATCCTGGCCCCATTCATTATTCGGTCCTGCTCCTCTCGTAGGTGTAGACAACTTTCAGGACTCTTGTGTTTGGAAACTGGAAGGGCACAGACTTTGAGGTAAGGTCTTGTTTTCACTGCTTTATTTTCAATTAAAGCTATATACAGCTGTGCATTCAACAGAATAAATTTCTAAATTTAAAAATGAAGAAAAAGGGCAAAGGATGTTTATTTTGGTTGAAAAGCTAGCCAGAGCACAGGTTCAGGCTAGAAACCCAAACCCCCTCACTTAAAAAAAAAAAAAATGAGGTGACCTTGACATTAACTCCCAGCGCTGCTGCTCTGCCCTCACCTATGTGACTAGCAGGAGGCCATGTTTCAACCTCAAATGTTTTTCTGTAACCACATGGAATTCTTAAGACTTTTTAAAAATTACTTTTCCCCTGCCAGGGAGCAAGGAGGTAATTTTACCAATGGCGTTTTCATCAGCTTCTATTACTGATCCTGATAATGATAGGGAGTTGTGTATATTATAGAAATTGTATATTATAGAAGAGTAAAATAAAACAGGATGAACAATATCAAAAAATACTCTTGTAACTTAGCACGTTTCCTTCCTAGTTTTTTCCCCAATATTTGCGATTGTGAAATAGAATGCCTGTGTAGAAGGTAGGTAGTATTTTGAGACTTAGAAAATGAGCTTCCATTAAATAGGTCAAGGAATGTAAAATCATATCATATTATCTTCGTCCATAAGGAAGCCCCTATATGGCTGTCACTAATTTTTTTCCTTGCTCTTCACTACATATCCTGGTATGTATCACAGCATTTATCATTAAAATGTGATTTTAATTTTGTGTGATGTTGTTTCTGTCTCAGATGTCAGTCAATAGTATGGAGGCAAGACTAGTCCACATTTTGGATGCAGCTAGAGTGTTTATTCTCACTGCTGTATAACAGTCCACTCGATGCTGTTGTTTACATTGTGTTCTACTCAGGTAAGGGGTAAGGAGAGTATGTTTCATTAATATTTTCCTTCTGTGGTGGAATGACATCATTGCTAGAAATCTCCACTGTCAACATTTATCACTAATATAAGTACTTTCCATATCATCAAAAACTATTCAGTTTTGGGCCTCCCCGGTGGCACAGCAGTTGAGAGCTGGGTTGCTAAGCTGCCCGCAGCCTCTGCAGTGCTGGTTCGATCCCCAGATGCCGGGCGAGGGTCCCACATGGCGCCAGACCTCTCCTGCCGCTTGCTGCTCCCCTCAAAGTGTACTTCGGTCCTTCTGCCTGTTCTCCTCCCCGCTCTGGCTCTGGTGAATCCTTTCACCCTACCGCGCTTCTGACTGTACCCAGTGCTTGTATAAAAAAAATAAATCTTAAAAAAAAACTATTCAGTGTTATTGTATCTAGTTTTTACATTTAATTTTGTATATATTGGCGGTTTTTATTTAGTTTCAAATCACTTTACTGTAAATAAAGTGTTAGTGAACATTTTTACACATATGGATTTTTTTTAAAGATTTATTTATTTATATAAGCACCGGGTACAGTCAGAAGCGCGGGAGGGTGAGAGAATTCGCCAGAGCGGGGAACGGAACAGGCAGAAGGACCGAAGTACACTGCTGAGGGGAGCAGCGGGCGGCAGGAGAGGTCTGCGCGCCATGCGGGACCCTCCCCGGCAGCCGGGGATCGAACCCGCGCTGCAGAGGCTGCGGGCAGCTTAGCAACCCAAGGCTCAACTGCTGCGCCACGGGGGGAGGCCCTACACATTAGAATTTTTTAATCTTAATTTGGAAACATTTCTTTAGGTCATTTCCAAAAATAAAATTACTATTTCCATTGAAAATGTATTTTAGGGCCTCCCGGTGGCGCAGCGGGCTGAGCGCCGCGCTCTGAAGCGTCCGCAGCCCAGCGCCGGGTCGATCCCCGCCGGCCTCGGAGCAGCCCGCAGGGCGCGGCGGACCCGCCTGTCTCCCGGCTGCGCCCTCGGCGGTGCGCTTCGCCAGGCGGCCGGTTCCGCTCCCCGCCCTGTCTCTGCGGCGGCCTCGCCCCCTCCCGCGCCCCCGGCCCGTCCCCGGCGGTTATGTAAATAAATAAATCTTAAAAAAAAAAAGAAAAGAAAAGAAAACGTATGTATTTTAAATTCAAAGCTCCCCGCAGAGGTTGCGAACTTACTTCCCAGGAACAGTGAGGACAGGTCTCCTCTCCCGCCATCACTTGCTCTGTCCCGCTGTCCTGGTGAAGCCTCCCGCCCTTGCCTGCGCCGCGGCGCGGGCCTCACTTGTCTCAGCTCCACTATTGCCCGGCGCGGCCTGCACCGCTCTCAGGCCTCTGGCCGATCCTTTAGCAGCCCTTTGAAGTATTGGCCCTTTAAGAGCGCCCTCGGCATTACGTCATCACTTTGCGACTCCCAGAATGCACCTGGCGGAACGTGAGCGGCCGCGCCAAGAGCGGCTCCTGGGGGGGGGGGGGAACAAACTAAAGAAGCGAGTGGAGCGCATGTCGCCGCCTTATGGACTGGGGTGGTATCGTGGGAAAAAATCACGGTCTGAAATGCCAGCCAGACCGTAAATGGCCACGCCAAGAGCGGCTCCTGGGGACAAATTAAATGAGCGAGACGAGCCGGTGTCGCCGCCTTGTGGACTGGGGTGGTATCGTGGGAAAATGGAGACCAGAACGGCTAGCGGGACCAGAAATGGCAGCGCCAAGAGCGGCGCGAGGAGGTAAATTAAAGGAGCGCGATGAGCGAGTGTCGCCGCCTTGTGGATTGGGGTGGTATCGTGGGAAAATCGCGGTCTGAAACGCCAGCCAGACCGTAAATGGCCACGCCAAGAGCGGCTCCTGGGGACAAATTAAAGGAGCGAGACGAGCCACTGTCGCCGCCTTGTGGACTGGGGTGGTATCGTGGGAAAATGGAGGCCAGAACTGCTAGTGGGATGGGAAGTGGCCGCGCCAAGAGCGGCTCCTGGAGGTAAATTAAAGGAGAGAGATGAGCGAGTTTCGCCGCCTTGTGGACCGGGGTGGTATCGTGGGAAAATCGAGGCTAGAAATGCCAGCAGGACAGGAGGTGCCGGCGCCAAGAGCGGCTCCTGGAGGGAAAATGAAGGAGCGAGATGGGCGCATCTCGCCGCCTTGTGGACTGGGGTGGTATCGTTGCAAAGTCGCAGTGCAAGGCAGCAGCTGGACCAGAACTGGCGGCGCCAAGAGCGGCTCCCGGAGGCAAAAATAAAAGAGCGAGACAAGCGCGTGTCGCCGCCTTGTGGACTGGGGTGGTATCGTGGGAATATCGTGGCCCGAAACGCGAGTGGGTCCAGAAGTGGTGGCGCCAAGAGCGGCTCCAGGCCGCGTAATGAAGGCGCTGGTGGAGCGGGTGGCCCCGCCTTGTAGCCCGGGCGGGTAATGTGGGGAAACGCAGACTGATGATGGCAGGGGGATGGGTAAGGTAAAGCACCTGGAGGGGTGAGAGAGGTGGAGAGGAAGGCGGGAAACGGGAGGAGGAACGAGGTAACAGGGCCAAGCCCGGAATAATGTGCGGGCTGGACTTTGAATAAGGCAGAGACGTGTTTCAGGCAATGGAAAGGGCGGTGAGGACCATGTGAAAAATAACGGGGAGGGCGCCGCCTGGTGGCCATCAGTGGCGAGACAGGGCATCCCTGACAAGCGGCCAAAGGGGAGGAGAGGCGCAGGTGGCCAAGCTCGGGGACCATGAGGGGGCCTGTGGGGTGGAGTCCAGTGACGGCGGGAAACAGCCATGACGGCCGCGGGGAAGGGGCGGCCAGCGCAGAGGCAGGAGCAGCAGAGCACGGTGGGAATGTGTGTCCAGAAAAACCGGATAGACTGTTAGTGAGACTAGGAAACCTGCCCTCACTATTCCTGAGAAGTAAGTTCCCAACCCCTCTGCAGGGAACTTTGAATTTAAAATACTTGAATTTTTAATGGAAATCGTAATTTTATTTTTGGAAATGACCTAAGGAAATGTTTTCAAATTCAGATAAAAATCTTTGTGTAAAATTTTTCACCAACACTTTATTTACAGTAAAATGATTTGAAAGTATCTAAATAAAAACCCCCAATATATACAAAATTAAATGTAAAGACTGGACAAATAGAGTAACGCTGAATAGTTTTTAATGCTGTGGAGAGTACTTACAGTGCAGTGTTAAATGATGAAGAAGAATATAAATTTTTAGCGATGATGTAAGCATACTCTCCTTAACCCTTATGTGTGAGTAAAACACAATGTAAACAACAACTGTACACCGAGTGGAATATTATACAGCAGTGCAAATAAAACCCTCAAGCTGCATCCAAAATGTGGACTAGCCTTGCCTTCATAGTGTTGAGTGACATTCAAGACAGAAACAGAACATGATTTAATTTATTTAAATATTAAATACCAGACAAAATTAAAATCACATTTTAATGGTACATTCAGTGGATATATACCTAGGATATGCAGTGAAGAGCAAAGAAAAAAATTAGTGACAGCCATATAGGGGCTTCCTTATGGACGAAGATCAAGATATGATGTGACTTTACATTTCTTGACCTATTTAAAGCTCATTTTATAATTCTCAAGCTACTACCTACCTTCTACACAGGCAATCTATTTCACAATTGCAAATATGGGGAAAAAACTAGGAAGGAAACATGCTAAGTCACAAAAGTACTTTTTAATATTGTTCATCCTATTTTATTCTACTCTTCTATAATATACACAACCCCCTATCATTATCAGGACCAGTAATAGAAGCTGATGAAAACTCCATTGGTAAAATTACCTCCTTGCTCCTTGGCAGGGGAAAAGTAATTTTTAAATTACTTTTAAATTCCATGTGGTTACAGAAAAACATTTGAGGATGAAACATGGCCTCCTGCTAGTCATGCATGCGAGCAGTAGCGTTGGGAGTTAATGTCAAGGTCACCTCATTTTTTTTTTTTAGAGAGGGGGTTTGGGTTTTTAGCCTGAACCTGTGCTCCGGCTAGCTTTTAAACCCAAATAAACATCTTTTGCCCTTTTTCTTCATTTTTAAATTTAGAAATTTATTCTGTTGAATGCACAGCTGTATATAGCTTTAATTAAAAATAAAGCAGTGAAAACAAGACCGTACTTCAAAATCTGAGCCCTTCCAGCTTCCAAATACAAGAAAGTTGTCTACACCTACGAGAGGAGCAGGACAAAATAATGATATTTCATAAAACAAAATTTTACATAACTGAAAGCTCCTCCTTGTGACTAGTTCATTGCCTTTACAAAAAAGAAAATAATAGAACAGAAGGGCCTCCCTGGGGGTGCAAGGGGTTAAAACGCTGCACTATAAGCTATCACCAGCAAATGTAGCATGTGTTCGATCCCTATCTAGGGAGCTGACCCACATGGTGCAGCAGACCTCTCCTGTCTCCCTGCTGCTCCCCTCAGCAATGTGTTTCAGTCAGTCTGCCTGTTCTGTCCCCCACTCTGTCTCTGATGAATCCTCTCATCCCCCCATCTTTGGCTTACACCCCAGTTCTTGTATGCATAAATAATATTTTTTAAGAAGATTTATTTATTTATTTATGCACACAAGAACTGGGGTACAGGCCAGAGATGCAGGGGGTGAGAAGATTCACCAGAGACAGAGTGGGGAACAGAACAGGCAGATCTACTGAAATACACTGCTGAGGGGAGCAGTGGGCATGACAGGAGAGGTCTGCCGTGCCATGTGGGACCCTCTCTGGCCAGCAGGGATCGAACCTGCGCTACAGAGGCTGTAGTCAGCTTCACAGCACTGCGCTCAACCACCTGTGCCACCAGGGGAGGCCCTTGTTTTAAATGCAATTCTTAACAAACACCTCATTTTATTTGCCTGTAGTGTTAGGACCCTCTCCCTTTTGATTTTTAGATTGTAAGAAGTTATGGAAGAATTTCGTCTTTATTTATCCCGCAGGCCCAGAGGTGATCTTTTTTCCAAAGTCCGAGCCCTGAGCCATTGGGCGACAGAGCACCCATCACCCCAGCAAAGGCATATATGCACCTTAAAGCAAGCAGGGGGGCAGAGAAGCAGGAGACTTCCAAGAGCTCACCTGGTCATCTGGGACGCACAGTCAGGCCCCTGGCCAGAGAAAGTCCATCAGTCACTCCCTGAAACCTTTAGTCCACCCCCAGGCCTTGTCCCAACATAATTCCAGCTAATAAGCAGGTCACAGTGGGCTGTGGTAGGCGGGCTGGGGCAGGAGGCACGGGTGGGTCTGTGGCAGGCTCCAGGACTCTCAGCCTTTCACTGACAGCATCCACCGCAGCGAGACCCTAAAATATCCGCAAGTCATGAAAACAGCAAACAAGGCTGCTTGAATTTCTGGGAACGATTTTTTTTAAATCATTGCTAAAAATCCCCTTACCTGAAGCTGACATAAAAGCAAGGCTTGGGGCCTCCCTGGTGGCGCAGGGGTTAAGCACCGCACTGTGAAGCCATACGCAGACTCTGCAGCGCTAGATCCATCTGATGGAGGACAAGAATGGAGAGACTGGAAAGGAGGCCTCACAAGACTAAAACCTGACTCACGCAAGGAGGTGGGGGTCGAGGGGAATCACACGACCTTTAACACAGCTGTGGAGGTCGGACCCTCAGGCGCCAGTGCCTTGCCACAAGGCAGGAGACCTGAGCAGGATCAGATGCTCTAGGGAGTGGCGCACAGGCCTGAGGGGAAGGATATGGAGATTGGGCCCACCCTGGAACCTCTTGTCCCTTTCTAGGGTTGCCTGTTACCCAACATCAGCAACAAGCAGCCACTCCACGGAGGAGTGACCCTCCGAAAGAGAAAAGGACTGTATCGGGGCAGTCTCTGCACAGGCTCAGGGCAGCCCTCCCACTGCACACCCGTGACTGTGCAGGTGCCTCTTTTCACCAACTCTCTCCCTCTGCAGGGCAGCAGCCTCCTGCCTGCCGTGACCTGTCAAGGCCGCCCACCTGCAACTATGCAGGCCTCTCTCAGCAAAACCTGTCCCTTTCTTTTTCCTAATAAACCTGCTCTTTAACAATAACTATTGTCTCTGTCCCGTGGAGAAACGTGCCTGGGGGACTCACCAGGTGCCGCTGAAAAGGGAGCTCTGGGGACACCTTTGCCAGAGTCAACCCCAGGAACTGCACGCACTCTACAACCTACAACATTTTGATGACCACAAAGGGACTCGTCACATCATCTGGTGCCAACATCACATGCCCAGCCAGGAAGGTGACCCACAGGGAGCCCCAGACCTCTCCTGCCTCCCCGCTGCTCCCCTCAGCAGTGGATTTCAGTCAGTCCATCTGTTCTGTTCCCCTCTCTGTCTCTGGTGAATCCCCTTACCCCACCCCCGCACCTCTGGCTGCACCCCAGCTCTTGTGTTCATAAGTAAATAAATCTGTAAAAAAAAATAAGTAAAATAAAATAAAAGCATGACTAAAACCGTCCTTTACCTGCAGATCCTGAAATGGATCCTATTGCAAATATTAAAAAGCAGCTGCTATTCAAAATACATTATGAGAAAAATGAAGGGTCTCGGCTCCACATAGAAGGTTTCTCTTTGCAAATCATGGTGCGGCACAATACACCGTAGCCCAGACTCTGACATCCCTGAGTCTGTTCTGTGGTTTGGTGTAATATTCAGCCGTGAGCCGGGAGCCTGTGTTTATCTTTGGGGCTCAGACGGGTCTCCCGGGGACTACATAAACTTGGGTTTTGTTTCCTGAACCGAGGCTGGCCTCTCTCTGCCTTTGGATGGGTGAGTTCAATAGAGGATCTTCTACTGCCACTTTGACTTTAGTTTTCTGGTTCTATTTCCCTGCTCAGCTTTTTCTTTTTTCTTTCGTTCTTTTTTTTTTTTTCCTGCATTTTCTTCTCTTTAAATTATACAGGAGATCTTTTTTTAACATTTCTTTCAGGGAAGATCTAGTGTTAGAGGACCACTTCTTCAGCTTTTGTTTGTCTGGGAAGAACATTATTACTCTCTCCTCTCCGTAGGACAATCCTGCAGGTTAGGATATTTGTGACTCGTATATTTTATCTCTATTCTGAATATGTTATTTCATCCTCTCCTTGCCCTACAGTCCTCCAGAAATGGAGGTTGGGTCCATCCCCACATATGCACGGTCCATGACAGAAACTTGCTAAGAGGTGCTGGGATCTGGACCTCTTCCTGGCACTGTTACCTGAGCATTCTGAAAGGATAACTCACAAAACTAGAGCCGTAGATATCGCCTACAAGGCTTTCCATGAAAACCAGCATCAGGCTCATCATCAGTACACTCCACCTACAGACCAGAGAGAGAGATTGGAGAAAGATGAAAATTTCAATAGAAAACAGTTCAATAAATCCAGAAAAGAAAAAAAAATTATTATATAAGGAAAAGAAAGCCAAGATCACCAAATTTCTGGAGCACAAGGACCACAGGGAAAGCTTTGGGTCTGGGGACATTGCAAGAGTCGTGCCTACCGCTGGAGCGCCATGCAAGAAATCCCAGGTCCAGACATGCAAATGAGCCCTCTTACTTTCCTTTTACTTTGTGAAATTAAAGTGTTTATTATTATAAAATAATCTCCTTTGTACTCACTGAGTATTTCTGCTGGGAGAAAAATATGAAAAGAATAGGCCAGGGGCTACCAGCAAACATTTCCATTTTAAAGCCATATCAGTGACGCATACAGGGCTGCTACCGTATAAGGCCAGATGTGGCATTTACTCTATGAAGCTAATTCATTTCCTGCATGTTTGCTTGGGGCATTATTTCATTTCCCTGGAAGTTCCTATAAGATTCAGAATATAGAATATTATTCATTATATGCAAAAATATAATGGGTCTTTATAATGTAAATAAAAATGAGGTTTTAGGGTATCATCACTGTGAATGTTACATTAATCTCAAAGTCTAAAATCCATTTGCCTTATTCACAGAAATTCATGCATTCCACATGGATATATAATATTTAATTGAATTATTTCCCCTGTTTAGTGAGATGAGCTCTATAAACTGACCTCATTTTAGTGGATTTATTTCATACTATTGTTCCCAATATGAGTTACTTTGTATTTGGGGCTTTATATGTACCTAGTTGGCCAGAAAACTGAGCAGGCAAAGTATAAGCAGACCAAAAATACCACAAAAACAGCAACAAAAAACCCTCTTACGTTCAGAACAACTGAATAGCAACATTTCTCTATATCAAAGACAAGAAGCTACCTAGAAATTGTTTTTCAACTCCATAATATAGGGATAGCCTGAAATTAATGAGGCAAAAGTAGCTTTCCCAGTTCCTGTGCAGTTCTGAGTGATCATGTGACTAGTTCTTCCCAATGGAAAGTGAACAGATGTGACAGATGTCACCTCTGGACATGTTAAGAAACTCATGTTCCTTCTCAATGAACTCTTAGTCCACACCCAAAGAATGGATGTGATATGCTATGACATTTTCAAGGATACTTGATCTGTGAGCCAGAGGTTGCTAGTATTCTTGCAAGACCTCGCAAGATAAAACTGGTTCCATCAAAATTGTTTCTTAGAAAGAATCATTTTATAAGAAAAAAATGTTTTATTCTGTTGAACTGTTGTATTTGGATTTAATTATCACCACAATCTTGTGTGTCTTCACTAATCTTTATGATGAATATACTCTCTGTTATTGCTTACAAATCTTTAATTCCAGAGATTTCAGTCTATGTATCTCCCTAGGGGCTCTGTAACTTCATCTGTTTTCATTCGAGTGCACATACTTTGTGGGTATTGCATTGTGTTATCCAATTTACTGCGGAAGGGAGCAGTTGGTCATATAGATTGGTACGAAATGGAATCGTTACTGGAATGATAACCATGACATTAACAATGCCTGTAGATAAGTAGTGATTTTACCACTTCTTAAAAGAACTACATTCCCTTAAATTTAGCCCATACTATTTGCTGTGCCCATGAACATTCTCTGACAGGTGTGATGAGACCTCACTTCCTGCCTTCGTTATTCAGACAGTGAAAGTTGTTTCATGGAACACGTGTTTTAGATGAAAAGGAACAGGTAGGAAAGAAAACTATAATGCAAATCTAGAAAAATAGCAGGATAGTTGACAGTTGAATGTCTGCAGGAAAAAAATAGTCAATATTTTCTGTGAGGATAGATTGAAATGGGATTAAAGTACCACTGGATTTTATCTGATGCTCCGTAACAGCACACATTTCTCTCAGACGTAAAAGAAGTATCTGGATGAGTTTGACAACTTAAGACTATTCAGTAATCACAAATTCTATCAATTTTTTGTATATAAATATTGATAATTTTCATATAGCTATTGTGGCATTTCAGAAATACGAACACCTTGCTAAATACTGTTGTAATAGATTCAGGTTTGCACAATGATGCGTATGTGCTGACTTCTCTAAAACCTTACCAAATAATGTACACAATTCATGACCATTTTTCTAGACTGAGAAAGATACAACCCTGTGATCTCAAGAAAGATGGTGGCAGAAACACAGAGCGTTCCACTTTTGTGGAAGTGCAGCCGTGGGCTGACTTCCGGGCAGGCTTGCCAACCCTACGAGGCCAGAAGCATCGTCAATTATTTGGGTGCTAAGACTCCAATGAAGCAATGAGGAAGGAAAAACCCCTGTGGGCATAACCAGAGCCATGTCAAGGAGCCGCCAACATCAGGGTTCTCCACCACGGAGTAGGAGTAACATCTCTATAGTGTCATTAATGGAGATCACTCACTCAGTCATCACTGCAGGGTCTCAGGTCACCTCCAGCAGGTGCTCAGTAAACGCAATTCCTTTCTCCTTCCCTGAGGAGCCCAACTTCTCCTCATTAACAGGGATTTGCGAGGAAGGAGGTAACATCACTTTAAGACATTAGAACGGATAAGAGGCAACGTGGATTATCTACAAAATGCCCAGTTCCCAGGGGAATGAGTCACTGTGGCTGATGCAGCCCCTGAAATAGGAGGAATCCTCTCGGCACCAGGTGTCCTAGAAAAAAAGATCTCAAGAGCTCAGGAAAGGGCCCTTCTGGTCTCAGATGATCCCCCATGAAGAACTTTGCACCCTCGTTGGTGACAGTGCCCGGCTGCACCTGTGGTGTTTCGGAGGTGGCTCCTTTAGTGACACAGAGAGGGCCACTGCTTTCAATACACTGACTCCGTTAATAATAACCCATTTTAGAAAACCAAAGACTTGCAGCTGGAGTGTGGCAGGCCATGGGGCTCCTGGTCACTCAAGGCTCAGGAAAGCCTGGATTCTACTCAAGGGAGAGTCTAAAGTCGGCTCATGGACCTCCATGGTGGCACAAGGGGTTAAGAAGCAACCTATGAAGAGATCTGCAGCATCTGCAGCCTGTGTTTGATCCCCAGGCGGCCAGGGAGCTACCCACATGGCACAGCAGACCCCTCCTGACTCGCCAGCGGCTCCCCTCAGCAGTGTACTTCAGTCAATCTGCCTGTTCTGTTCCCCGCTCATACCACTGGCCTGCGGTTCTTGCATGCATAAATAAATCTTTAAAAAATAAAAATATATATATATAAAGGCGCCTCCGGAGGCAGTTTCCAGGTGTGAAAGCCCCTTCCAGGCTCGGAATGACCACATCGGCTGCACGGCAGGGAAGTGACACCTCAGCCCTCAGACGTGGGCCCAGGCCCAGCAGGGGCAGCACCCAGACCCCGTGAGGAAAGCAGAGCCCCAGGCCCACGCGGCCCACTGGTCAGAGCCTGCGCCGGGGAGACTGGACACGGCTCGGCCTCCTGCCTGCTGGACCTGGGGCGGGAGGGGGATGGGCCCCAGGAACGTGGAAAACCCGGTCCCCAAACTGCACTGTAGACCGCGGGATGGAAACGCACAGGCCCGGGGAGGGAGGCCCAGGACCCGCCGGGGCGCCCTCGCGGGCCGCAGTCGGGAGCGAACGCCTCGGGAGCAGCGGGGCCACGCGCAGGAGGGACCCAGACCCCTGCGTCCTGCCGGCCCCAAAATGAGCCCCAAAGCCCCATTTCTCCACACCCAGCCCGCGCGCGGGGCGCCCCGAGCCCTCGCGCCTTCCCTCCCTCGGCCTCACCTGTCCGCTCCCCGCCGCCGGCTCCCCAGGTCAAGGGCAGCGGCGCCCCGCGGGGCTCCTGAAGGACCAGGCTCACCCCAGCGGAACCTCACCCCGAGTCGGGGGCCTGCAGGGCCAGGGGCCGGGCCCGGGCGAGCGCGCATGCGTGGTAGCGGCGCAGGGGCAGCCAGGTGCGCTGGGCGGGGCGGGCTCGCAGGGGCTCCCGGAGGCCACGCCCACCCGGCCGCAGGCGCTGGCGGGAGGGTTCGCAAACAAACACTGAGATGCAGACAGATGTCTCCTCCTCGCCCAATACACTGTGACCCTACAGTGTCCGCTAGTCATTAAAACGGCAAACAAGGTTGCTTGAATTTCTGGGAAAGATTATTTTTTTTAAATCATTCTTAAAAATGCCCTTACCTGAAGCTGACATAAAGCATGAGGAGGGGCCACCCTGGTGGGCAGGGGTTAAGCACCGCACTGTGAAGCCATCCGCAGCCTCGGGAGCCCCAGTTCCATCCCCAGCCAGGAAGGTGACCCACAGGGCGCCACAGACCTCTCCTGTCTCCCCGCTGCTCCCCTCAGCAGTGGATTTCAGTCAGTCCACCTGTTCTGTTCCCCGCTCTGTCTCTGGTGACTCCTCTCACCCCCACCCCCGCACCTCTGGCCCGCACCCCAGCTCTTGTATTCATAAGTAAATCAATATGTAAAAAAAAGTGAAATAAAATAAAGCATGACTAAAACGTCATTTACCTGCAGATCCTGAAATGGATCCTATTGCAAACATTAAAAAGCAGCTGTTATCGGGCCTCCCTGGTGGTGCAGGGGGTTAAGCACCACACTATGAAGCAATCCGCAAACTTCTGCAAGAGTTCGATCACCTGGCCCGCCAGGGAGCATTCCGCATGGCACAGCAGATCTCTCCTGACTCACACACTGCTCCCCTCAGCAGTGTACTTCAGTCTGCCTGTTCTGTTCCCCACTCTGTCTCTGGTGAGTCCTCTCATTGCCCCCCGCCCCAGCATCTCTGGCCTGTGCCCCAGCTCTTATATGCATAAATAAACAAATCTTTTTTAAAAAGCAGCTGTTATCAAAATGCATTATGAGAAAAATGAAGGCTCTCGGCTCCACATATAACATTTCTCTTTGCACATCATGGTGCAGTACAATACACTGTGGCCCAGACTTTGACATCCCTGAGTCTGTTCTGTGGTGGGTGGTTAGGGCTTGGAGTCAGGCCAAGCTG